TCAGCAACCTTTGCACTGACAGTAATTGCACCAACATTTATTGAGAGCCCACCGTGTGCGGTAGGCATCCTTCTGAGCACGTGGCCCATGTAAATTCACAGAGAGCCTTTGGGGCAGGTGAGGAAAGTGCACGTTTCAGGTTTCAGGCAGCAGCTGGTGATTCTGAATTCTCTGCTAACACCAGACCTGAAGACTCAGTCCTTCCCGGGTCATTTATTTTCTGAAAGCCCAACACGACCCTCACCCAGATCCCTTACCTCCCCCACTCTACACTGCGGTGACCAACAAAAATAATAAAAGTCCCCCAAACGTCTCTCTTTTTATATATATGCAGAACCTTAGTAAAAAAAATGAAATAGAATTAGAAGTGCAAATACAAGCAATTTGGAGGTAGAAAGAATCAGGGGTTGGTTGGAGGAGGGAGCCAGGCATGATTCATATCCAGCTGTCTCCTGCACGACCCCCACTGAAGATGGAGCCCTCACAGAGCATGCGCCCTGACTGGGATTGGGGAATGGAACCTCGACCTTCTGGTTCATAGGTAGACGCTCAACCAAAAAGCCACACCAGCTGGGTCCAAGGCACATTTCTTAACATGTCCCACCCATTCCTAAATGCTTTCTCTGGAGGCCTCTCCCTTCTGACGCAATTTGACACTGAAATTAGCACCCTAGCAATGACCCCACTAGCTCTTATTTTTGGATTCTGTTCCCCATTCCATTTCTTTAACCTAAATTGTTCCCTCACATCTGCCAGCTGGCAGAAGAAGTCCAGATATTCCCAGCCTGCAGCATTCAGGCTGGAATGACAACATCAGCCCACCACTGCAGGAAACTCAATTCTAACAACAACCAGAATTAGCAAGAAACAGACTGTTCCCTAGACCCTCCAGAAAGGAGCCAACCTGCAGACACCTGGATGTCAGCCTGGCCAGAGCCACGCTGGGCTTCTCACCTACAGACAAGTAAAGTAAGGAATCTGTGTTGCATCAGGTCATGAAATTTGTGGTTTTTATTAGCAGCTTACAAAGCTAAAACAAGGATTTTGTGAAAATGTGGTGAGTAAGCTGTGGGGGTGAAAATCTAGAAGAAGTTCAGTTGAGGAATGAAGAATATTAACCAATTTATTTAACAAATGTAACCTGACAACCACCTGCCGGGTGGAGGGGACACAGTGGTGAACAATCACAGTGATGGTGATGGCCTGGCTTTTCCCAGGACCCAGCAGTTACAGGAACCTCCGGGAACATGGACACATGCTCAGCGTGGAGTGTCCCTTTCCTGGAAACTGGGCTACAATGTGATAAAAATTCCACTGCAGTTCACCCGACTCCCTTCCTCCCCAAATTCATGCCTCACACATGAGCCTTAGGGATGAAGCTGGAGGGTTGGTTCAGCATCATGATCACAGGTCACAAGCTGGTTAAGAATTTGGCCTCTAGTCCCTTCTCAGCCCCGGGTGAGGTGGTCACTGTGAGTTCATTCTGTGGACGACGTCATCATGGACAGCCAGCCAATGGAGAGTGGGCCATGGTTCTGACTGTCCACCTTGAAGGAACCAGGTGGGGTGTGGCCTTCATAGTCACCTACAGTGACCTTCTCCCTGGGGCCCTGGGAAGGGAACCTCAGGCTGCCCATGACCCTGCCCAACAGGAACAACTGGCTGCAAAGGAACAGACTAGAGGTGGAGGTAGGGTCAGAGGTCAAACACCTCCAGCAGCACTACTTTCTGCATGAATTATGTCACTTCCCTGGGCCCTGCCTCCCTTTCCACACTTCCAATGAGGTCACCTCACAGGGATGTTGTGAGGATTAGTGAGTGAAAGTCCCCTGAAGCATTGAGCCCAGCACCCACCACTTTCTATGTTATCTGTGAATGTGAGCTATGGTTGCAGGAAGGGAGCTGAGTCATCTTGGGAAAGTTAACTTCCTGCACCCTGGTCTCCTCATCTGTCATATGGAAAAGTTGAAAGATAACTAGTAAAGTGCTTCACTCAGTGAGTTTTAGGAAGTGTATTCCTGCTGTGAGGTTTGGCTGTGAAGCAGGCCCTCAACTGAGGGCTGGGCAGGGGGAAGCAAAGACCTCTCTTCCCCTTGAGGGTCGTCATTGCCATCAGCTGAGCCTGAGGCCACTGGGGTCTCCAGGGAAGGGTCAGGCAGTGAGTCAGACACAAAGGAACTCCCCACTCATTCTTGTGCTGAGCAAATGGTCAAGGCAGTGGGCTCCTCTGAGAAAAGCCTGAAAAGAGGCAAGAGAGACCCGGAGAAGGAAGCCTCTGAGAAAGTGTAAATGTGTGATCCATCCATGGCATCATAGAACGAGACCTCCCCCCTCTCATAATCCAGGAAAA